TTTTGTGGCCTTACAAAGACATCTTACCAGCCAAGATTAAAACAGGGTTGAAGAACTTAAATCTGAGGAAATTCTTCATGTGCACAACCACAAGATCGTTGGGATGGTTGACGGAATCAATGTTGACACTGAATGCGATGCTAGTTGCCACATCTAAGCTGTAGCCTGAGAAGATCCTGGAGGGATGAAGGAGAAGCATAGTGTGGAGGTTCAACCAGGGGTGGGATTCAAAATTTTTAACAACCGGTTCTGTGGGTGTGGCTTAGTTGGTGGGTGTGGCTTGGTGGTCATGTTTTTGTCTGGGTATGGCCAACTCAATATCACTCACATCGAGGCATGCATTTCCTCACCTGGCCTCTCATGACTGTGGGGATGCTGCAACAGTTGTAAGTGTGAAAAATGGTCATAAGTCACTTTTTTCAGTGCAACTTAGAATGGTCACTCCACACAAGCAAAGTACCAGTAAAGGAGGGGAAGAAAACTCCAGAGACGTTCCTGAGACAGGAAGTCTAGTCCTGCCAAGAATGTAATAAGGGTTAACGGAGAGGCAGTTTCTGTAAGCAACACCAGAATGTTTCCTTCCTGCCTTCCTTACAGGATTAGCCCAGTAATTTCTTCTAACAACCGGTTCTCCGAACTGTTTAGAACATTAACAACCAGTTCTAGTGAATAGATGCAAACTGGTAGAATCCCACCCCTGGGTTCAACTATTAGAAGCCACCCCATTATGCATTCAAGTGATGATCTCAGAGAATCCTTAACAGCTACAGGAGGGATTCCATGTATTATGGAAAATGTGAACCCACTTGGATTACAAATTTGGATTACAAATTCCCCTTTTGTAAATTTCTGTTAGAAAAAGGATGCTCCCTAACCAATCTCACATATATTACTTACACCTCTACATCTGTGATTTCATCATTCTCCACTTTCTTCTGAATGTTCTTCTCCAAGATTTCATTGTAATGGTTGATGATGGGCATCATCTGAAAGGAAGACCAATGGACAAGATGCTGGAGACACTTAGAATAGAATAGAATAACAGAGTTGGAAGGGACCTTGGAGGTCTTCTAGTCCATCCCCCTGGCTAGGCAGGAAACCCTACACCACTTTAGATAAATGGTTATCCAACATCCAGAATGAAAGCAATATGTCAGCTCAGATAGCCATTTTCAAACCACTACTTCAACTTGGGTTATTTGCTTGTGTGAAACTTTTCAAACTTATTTGAAATGTACCTCTTATTATAATCTTAAATTTCACAGCTTGCAGACTTCATAGCTGTTTTGTCATTTGTTTTAAGCACTGAGCACATCAAGATATTAAACTAGATCCCATTCATTGAGCCTGGTGGATCATAACAATATACAGATGTTGGCTGCTTATAAAATTCAGCTAAGATTTATGAAAACGAGTAGAACTCAGCTTGTTCTCATAGAGAGAACTTGCAAAACTCCATCATTCCAAAGCTGGAAGAAAACCTACGCTAACCAGGTGTTTCCTTCCCAATTCTGGAGATAATTAATTGTAGCTGAAATAAAATGAGACTTGTGAAAAACTTTTCCGATCTGACGTTTTCTTGCCATGCTAATCGGACAGTCCGGAAGGATCAACCTTACTTTGATATAGGAAAGGTGGAGTAATTTAGCCAAAGGTTTCAAATACCTACTCCAAGGAGGGCTGGAATTTCTTAGAAAATTAGGTGGATGAAAATCAGTAATGAAAAAGAGGCTTTTTGAAAAGATACCGTCTATCTTAATAGCTGAAGGGAATTAATGGGTGTGTTTAAATTTGCATTCAGATTTCATCAAGGAAAACACACGGGACCTAACAAGGTTTGGGCGAGGCTCCAGAAAACTTAGGCAATCCAGAATAAGATTTATAGGATTCTTGAAGATGTAGTTTTTTCTTTTAGGACAGGTGGATTTCATAGACTTTTTTAACGGGATCAACCAGGCTGCTAAGAAGTTTAACTCAGGTGAAGCTTCGCTGATTTAGTTATGGAGGCTTCCTCTATGCTCACTAAGACCAACCTCACTCAAAATCAACAATTGACAATGCTTAATGGCAGGTTGGGTTTTCTTCAGGCCATGCAAGAATCCTTGAGAAGTTCAAAAGGAATCCAACACTTATCTATCACCTCCTTCAGCCTCCCACTGGTGAAAGTGGGAGAAAAGGCATTGCGAATTCTCCTCCACTGGTCATCGGCAACGAAGTTTAGGGATGTGTCCAGATTTCCACACAGACCAAAGTCCTGAATAAGGTGAAATAGCAAGAAAACAAAAACAGAAATGTCTCATGTTGTTCTTTTCAGTCCTTTCTTTTCAATTTGCTGTCTTCTTAATTAAGTATACTATCTATCTATCTATCTATCTATCTATCTATCTATCTATC